TGACCTTGGGCCAGCCATAGCCTCTCAGTCTAACCTACCTCACAGGGTTGTTGTGGGGATTAAATGAGGCTAGGGAGAACCATGTATGTTTCCTTGGAGAAAAAAGGTGCCATATAAACACAATAAATAAAAAATATAACTGCCTCCTGAGACTGATGGGGATTTGGAGTCTGACAACATCTGCATGGCTTGGGGTTCTCCACCCCTAGGATACTGTACATGACCATGGCAAAGCTTAGGAAGACCTCATTTCTCAAGCAAGACTTAACTCGGGCTTGCAGTCCCTTCCTGCCCAGGGTAATCTGGCTGGGCAGGGTCAATTCAGGATATGGTGCTGCCCACACATATGCTGTAACACAGGGATAGGCAATGTGCCATCCTCTAGACGTTCTTGCACTACAGCACCCCATCACTGCTAACCTTTGGCCATGCTGGATGCAGATGATGTGAATTGCAGTCCAAGAACATCTGGAGGATGCCTTTTGGGCTACCCCTGCTATAATATGTAATTTAGTGGCTCATCGTAGTGGTCAGGGCACACAGTCCCAAAGGTTCCCCAATCAAGGCCTAACATCTCCTGATGCCTAGCTGGCTATTCCTTGATTAGGCAAGTGGTTCATGTTGATTTTTGACATTTCATCAATGAGAGCTGCTGACAGGAGATGGTCTCCTGAGGCAGCTGAAGAATTTCTCTGAGCCGTTTTCAAGACGATAAAGCATTGAAGCCTGGAGAAGGTGACGGCCTTCCATATGAGACAGGTGTGTGTGTGCAAAACACTTGTTGGCAATTTTTTTCTGAGCGAGGGAGAAGGGAGGGCCTCAGAAAAAGAAAGAGCTATGAGCTGGCTGAGGATTCAAGGCCTCTTGGCTATTCAGGGCCTCCTCCTAGGGATCAGATGTGGGGTAGTGGATCTGAAGTCTTGTAAGAACATCTCTTTGTCTCCATGGAAGGGCCATAGCCTAGTGCAGGCGTGGCCAAACTTGGCCCTCCAGCTGTTTTGTGACTACAACTCCCATCATCCCTAGCTAACAGGACCAGTGGTCAGGGATGATGGGAATTGTAGTCCCAAAACAGCTGGAGGGCCAAGTTTGGCCATGCCTGGCCTAGTGGTATACACATGCCTTGCATGCAGAAGGCCCCAGGTTCCGTCGCCATAATCTCCAGGAAGCACTGAGGGGAAGACAATTTTCGGAAACTCTGGAGAGTCGCTGCCATTCAGTGTAGACAATGCTGAGTCAGCTGGCCCAATGCTCTGAGTAAGTACAACAAAGCATCTTTTGTTTAATGCTTGTGGTCACACTTATGCTCCACTGGTATGTTCTTCTACATATTTTGTCCTTTCCTGTGCTTCTGGATACCTTTCATGAGATCATAGCCAAATTTTGGTTCTGAAGATGTACATGTTTTTGTCATTGGATGCCATTTTGAATCAAGATGGTCAATTGAACTGCCCTGATTTTAACTACTGATTTCAGTAAGGTTATTAGGGGAGAAATAAGGGTTTATGTGTTTGGCCAAAGGTTCCCATGCTCTGCCACAGTACTAAAGGCATAATGGATTAAGTCATGATTTTTAATGTAGTTAGATAAAGACTCATAGATGAACTACTGTCATATTCCAACCATGGTAGCCCATTGATGTTCCAGATGTTTTAAGTCTCTAATTACTGTAAACCCCAGCCAGTATGTCCAATGTTCTAGGATGATGGGACTTGCAGTTCAGCAATATCTTGGAGGACCAAGGTCTAATAATTTAGCCAGCCATTGCCTCCTCTCTCTAATAGAAGTGGCTTATCAGTTTCCAAGCTAGCTATTTTGTTGGATGTTTGAAGAAAATGGAGAAAACATTCCTGCAGTTGCTAAGCATCCATGAACCTTGAGGTGGCTGCAAAGCGCATCTGGTGACATAGCAACCAGGAGGGGAAGTTGTCCTCCACCCTGATTCTAGCCACACATCTAGAACTTGGAGCCTGCAGGACTGCAGCATCAAATGGATGAATTCATGTCACGTGGCTGTTCATACTTGGATGCGATCGGTTCCAACAAATGCTGATATATGGAAAAAAGGGGAATATTTGCCCTCTATCTTTCCTTTCCAAGCATCAGATGAGAGAATGAACGCCACATAACTTTGTTTCTGAGACCTTGAAAACATCCTTTCTAACATCCTGGTTAGAAAAGTCTTGCCGTACTGCAAAGTTTGGATTTTATAATGGAGCCACACAGCTACCTACAACTTTTCTGAATTTTGCGGCATAATCACACTCCGGTGACAAATCTGTCAATTTTGTCCTCAGGCAAGAAATCTGCGAACTGACATGACTTGTGCTTGTAAATTCAGATTCTCTCTCCCCTGCCTCCAATTTGATTCAGCTTTTGTTTCACCACATTGGAGTGAAAGCCACATATAATTTGTTGCCGAGGTTGACAAATATTGAAATTGTGTATAGTTTTGGATTAAGAATTCTACGGTTTATGTTTTTAGGTTAAAACATATCTGTTCTTTTGGATCAAAACACTATCTCAGTACATTTGACACTTATCCCAGACAACCAGAGAGATACATTTTGTTTTTATAATAAATTGTTGGAAATGTTGATTTTTTTGGAAACCTCAGTTTTCTGTTGTGTCATGGCTGAGTTGTAAGCAGGTCTTGGAGAGGGGCTAGGACCCAGGAATGTGTACACTCCATACACATAAAGCACGGGCCTCTTTTCTAGAATCCTGGGAACTATAGTTTACCCATAGCTGAGCTACAATTCCCAGCCCCCTTAAAAACTTCAGTTCCCAGGATTCTTTGAGGAATGTGCTTTAAATGTATGGTATGTTCACAGCCAAGGACTTGCACCAGAGAGTCAGAGCTGAGGGGTGAAGCCCTAGGAGTCAGTTAAAAAACAACACAGCTGCATGAAATGTTATACTTAGTTGGCCAGTACACACACCCACACACACCACACGTATGTTCATGTTTGTGCAATAGTGGAGAATTGTAAGCAGTGAGGTTGAAGGGACTAAAAAGCAAACTGTACAGATTGTGACAACTGCTTTAAAACTGTGCAGAATGATGCAAACCACCGACCCACCATGCTAGACAGGGTTTAGATGGGGCAGAGATGCCATTCCTAAAAAGAGCCCTGCTGTCAAACTGCTGCCAGCCAGAGTAAACAACTCTGGGTTAGTTGGACAAATGGTCTTTCCTGATAGGTCGGCTTCATACTTCCAGCATTTTATGGAAATACTATGTGCTGCTATTCAACAGCCAGGGTTCAAGAGACATGGCGCTCTGTTTACTTTCAGTGTAATGTAGTAGGAAAAAAATTAGCTTGTCGTGTCTAAATACCGATGTAGGTATCTGGGTGATAGCAGAAATCCATGCCGCCTCACTGCAACACTCTCACAAGTCTTGTGAAGGCACCATGGAGTTCCTACACCCAAACCTTGCTTTCCTTGTATGGTTTGGTTTGCCCAATTCTCTCTATGCACTTCTGTGAGGTCCTTCATAACACAGGGGACTGCTCTGAAAATGCAGAGTAGCTGACAACCCTATTTGTCTAAATACATGTCTGGAATATGTTTATGTATTGGTTTCATTAATAATACATATAGCTCTTTGGCTATACATAATAATTTACAGTGCTCCTTAATCTGCACACCAGCAGTATGAATGGTAGGTGATTATGGCTGCAATATACTTACCCAGGAGTAAGTCCCCATCAGACTCAACTGGACTTACTTGTGAGTAGACTAGGCATGTATACGACTGCACCGTAATCTCCATATTCCTTTTGCTTTATCCAGCTGGGGGGGTCTGAGGTTGAGATATGACAACTCAGCTACCATGATCGTTTGGACCACACTACTATGTGTGTGCATGTGTACACCTCCCCCCAAAAAATGTACAGGAAAGTGGTCCTTTGTGCAAAACGTCTCACAATGATTGTGGTGTAGATTTGCAGATTTCCAAGCATGCTGCAATATTTAGATGCCGGCATGTGCATGTAACAGTGTGCAACAGGACCATTTAGGCTTTTTAGGCAGTTTAAAGGGCATGGTGACCCCAATTCAGGAAGCCCAGCATACAGAGCCATGTTTTTATTCTGCCTGCTTTAAGGAAAGGACGAATCTCCAGGCATTTTCTCTCTCGGAGAAGGAGTGCAGTTTATCTTTAAGGAGGCTAGAGAAATAAGGAATGAGGCTCACGCTGCATGGGTGACATCACTAGCTTTTGGCTCGGCGTTTTGTATTCTCTGGCTGTAGACTTCAGCCAAGGCTGCAGGGTGGCGTGTTTGAAGAAGGCGAGATTCCCAGGTGGGCAGAAGTCTTGGAGCCGCTCTTATATTCGAGCTATTAGCGCGGGGGCATTAAAAGGGCAACAGCAGCCAGCCAGCCCTGCAAGCGGGGGGAGGGCAATGCCATTGCGAAGGCTCCCCGGCGCTCTCTATCTCGCCTGCCCGGCAGCCTCCTGGCGAGAATGGGCGAGTTCTTCCCGTTAGAGGAGAAAAGCGGGATGGAAGGAGGTCCGGCCCAGCAAAATGTCTGAAGAAGGCAATCTCTCCAGCTGTTGACGGCAGGATCGCGCCGGGTAGGAAGCTGCTACGAAAAGGGGGAGGGAAAAGCCTACAAAGAAAGATAGCGCTTCTTGCAACGGAGATCAGGCCCTGTGGCAAGGAAATGGTGCAGACCGCGAGCTATTGACAAGGCAGAGGCTTATTGCCCACCCCCTCCTCCTTTGGAGTGGAATCGGCTGGCGTTATTTATTTATTAATTTTACCCCCTCCCTCTCCTGCTTGGCGCCCCCTCCTTCCTATTACCATCGTGTTTTAATTCACCGGGGTGGGGCTTTTCTTTTTTGCAACGGTAAGCGGGGAGTGAACGAAGACTCCCCATTGTTGTTTTTTTGTGTGTGTCTGTATATATAGGATCTGTACGTTGGAAAGCCTTGCTCAACAGAAAACGGAAGCCCCGGTGTAAAAAAAAAAAAGGGGGGGGAGAATAGGAAAAAAGGAGGGGGGTGAAGGAGGACCGCTTTGCAATAGCAGCAGCAGCAGGAGGAAACACACACACATATTCCGGGGGCTGGGTCTCGCGGAAGGAAGCTGGCGCTGTCCGTGGTGCTGAATCGCGCGGCGCCTCCAAGCTCCCCGGCGCTTCTGTGCTTGCCTGTCCTCCCGCCGCCTGCCACACGCTCCCCGGGGGAGGAACCGACAGAGAGGGCGGCAGGGTGCCTGGGTGGGTGCGCCTCCTTGCCGCTGACGATGGCCACGACGAGAGCCCAGCCGCTCTTCTTCCGCCCGTGATCCGGCGTTCTCGATCGCCGATCGCCGATTCTCCCCTTACGTTGCCGTGATCACGGGCGCAAGGCAGCACAACAAACGCGCTGAATCAGTTGGCGAAAAGGAGGAGGAGGAGGAGGAGGCAGGCAGGCAGAGCGGCGGCGGCGGCGGCTCGGCGAGAGAACCAAGATGTCAGTGCATTGCTGCAAAGCTGCAGGACTTCTGGGGCGACGGAGCAGGGCGACCGGACTCCCGCGTTAGGAAGGCAAAAGACTGGCTTGGATGTGCGTTGTGTGTGTGTTTCAAGAAAAAGCCCAGGATTGAAATCGACCAAAGGGCAGCTTTCTTCCTTAGCTGCCTGTCCTCTGAAACAAGCAAGCATATCGACCGTGACCAGGATTCTTGCAAAATCATCACCATCATCATAAAAACACACTCTACTTCACATCGCAGGCTTCCTGGTGTTTAGAAGCAAGATTGCTGGAGGCTGGGAAGCTGAAGATTCGGGCTTTTTTTTTTTTTTGGACTTTGATTTTCAAGCGTTTCTACTCCTTGAATGTGGCCCCCTTAAAGGGCTGAGAGAGGTAGAATATCTGTTTATCTAAAGCCCCCCTCTGGTATTTCTGGGAGGGTTCAGTCTCGAAGGGCTCAGTAGACTGATCCAGATGGCCAGACACAAGAAAGGGATGGCTGTTTACCACTGACTGCCGTTTCCTGGCCAGTGACAAGACCTCTCCGCCTTAGCAGACTGAGTGAAGCTGAAGCTTCAGAATTTCCTGGCCATTTTGCCACCCCTACCTACTCTTGGCCATAGGAAAAAGCGAATGAGTGCCCAGGGTTCTTTCCTTCTGGAGCCTAAGTTTTTCCTCTCCTCACTTCCCCCAGAGTTTGATGAATCTCCACCTGCTTCTATGTGATCACTGAAGGAAGCCACTGTCCAGTGACACCTGCCCAAGAGCTGGGCTCATACCTGGTATCCAGTTCAAAGGGCTTTCTGCCTCCTAGTGAAGATGTCCATGGTCTTTCTGTGAAGCTAAGGTATGGCTGCCGGAAGGTTATTGCTCTATGCCGGTCTCTCTTTAGCGTTGTGTGCTCTAGGCATGCTGGCTGTGGCGATCTGCTCTGACCATTGGTATGAAACTGATGCCAGGAAGCACAGGGAACGGTGCAAAAGCATCACCACCCGGAGGAATGACCCTGGCTTCATTTATAACTCTAACAACAACCTGCCCCTCAGAGCCAGCAGGTCTAGATTGGACCGTTGGGAAGGGAAACTTCTCTTGGCAAGAAACAGGAGGCAGCTCTTTGCCATGAGTGCCGTTGATGAGTGCAACAGACAGTACAACTCTACTAACATGGGGCTGTGGAGGAAATGCCACCGGCTGGGATTTGACCTGGACTTGGAGGAGCTCATTGCTAAAGGTAGGGTTTCTTTTACAGAAGCAGTTGCCCAATATAAGTTTATTGAATAAGCTGAAACCAGGTGCAAAGATACCGTGCAATGCCTACAAGTGCACCCACCAGATTATCCCCTTAGCCCAACAATCACAGTTGAGAGAGTTTTCTTTTCTGCGGGAAGGATGGTTGTTGGCTATGCTCTGAGTGACTTGACTTGGAACATATATGAAGGTCGAGACATTCTGCTGGGCTTATAGACTTTATAGGAAGGGGTCTGCATGGTCCTCAAATCTTCTGCTCTGTATAATTTTTTTAATAAGGCCACAAATCACTGTGGCATTTGGAACTCTTTGCTTAATGCATAAACAGTGCAGAAAATAACCAGATGAGCATTTTGAATTTGACCCCGATTAACTGAATCCTGCTAATTTTTGGTTGTCGCTAATCTTACGCTAGAAAGCTAGCTTACTTCTGAATAAACTAATAGACTTCTTTAAACATCAGATAGGGAGCAAACAGGGAGAAGTGCAAACAAGAGGTGGAGATAGAAAGTGTGCATATTCAAGCTCAGTGGTTACAGGTTATTTAAAAAGAGATAATTGAATTTCATTTGGCAAAAGTACCGTGTTAAAGCTCTAAAATGAAATAATGTTATGCCTCCTCCCCAAGGAGAGTCATATGTTGACAAAAAGCGCACATATATCATTTCCTCCTTTTTCATGCAGCATTTGGCCAACAAGGTTAGTCAATCTACTTGGATTATTTCTCCTGCTCATAGCACAGTACACAAAAAGGTATATAATGAAGCAGCTTCAGTTAAATATTTATCTAGAAAAAAGGTATGTGAAGTTACAAGTGGATTGTTTTTGCTTGGTTTCTGCCCACGTTATTATATCTTTTTGCTGCAAAACAGAATATCCTCCAGTAGTTCCTGGATGAATTTAAAAGATCACCTGAAAGGTTTTCTTTGCATACAGGGATTAGGCTGGTTTTTCCTTTATTTTATAGAGCTTCTGTTTAGCTAGCTTTATCTCAAGCTCTGTTGAAAATATGTTTGTCTTCAGCATAGATTCCAAGTGCATTTGCATAAATATATAACTTTGGTTCATTTGCTATACACAAAGGATTGCAAAGGTCAACACCCTGACATCAAACACTCTTTATGAATGAGCAATTGGAAGCCTGTTGGCTATTTGTTATGAGTTCGAGTTCAAAAGCAACTTTGGGGTTTAATGGCTAGAAGGCGTTATGAGCTAGCGGCTGCTTAGTGACTTCATGAAATACATTCTTGGCCCTGTTGCAATTTGTAATGGGCAACTGTCCATGCTCAGAAGCTGTCATCACACCAAGCATCCTGATTGGCAGGCTCAGCAGGGAAACCAAGGATTCTTCTAGGTCAGGCTTTGGGTTTCTTGGCATAGGACCAAAAGGAATGATGGGACTACGTCTTGGACAGACCTCTTCTTTTGATAAGTAACTTAGGTCTCTATTGCTCATAGGTGCAAATAACCCCAGGCTTTTAGCTTGGCAATATACTGCCAATATTGCAATGCCCTTGTACAAATATTTGGTGCAGCCACACTTGAAATATTGTGTATGGTTTTGGTCACTGCATCTCAAATGTAGAGCTGGAAAATGAAGACAGGAGCAACCGAAATGATCAGTGGCTGAATTGGAGCACTCCTGTAACTCCTTTATGAGGGTAGGTCACAGTATTTGGGGCTTTTTAGATTGGGTGGGTGGGGGAGACAGGTGAGTAAAGTGGGACATGGCTCTGGCAAACAAAAATGTGTGTGTTGTAGAGAAAGAGAACAGGGATATGTTTCCCCCTCTAGAATCCAGGGACTCCCAATGAACGTGATGTTGGAAGATTCAGGAAAGGCAAGAGGAAATATTTATTTACACAGCACATAGTACAACTATAGGATTTGCTAGTCCATGGTGTAGTGATGGCTGCCATCGTAGATGGTTTTGAAAGGGGATTAGACAAATCCTGTCAATGGCTCCCAGGCACTGGTGGCTTTATATTGCCACCAGTATGGGAAGCAACATGCCTCTGAGTACCAGTCACTGGGGAATAACAGTGCAGATGGGGCATTTTCCTCATGTCCTGCTTCTGGATTTTGCAGAGTTGTTCGGTTGGCCATTGTGAAATAGGATACTGGGCTAGACAGGCCTTTGGTCTAATTCTGGGTTGGCTGGGTTACTATTAAGTAGGGCAGATATTGACACAGGTGTAAATCTGGAAAATCTACATTACAAGCTACCTCAGGCATCAGCTAACTTAGTAGCTTTGGGCAAACAACCATGCATGGCTTCAACTATCCATTAGCAAAATGGAAATAGTGAGAATATGTTTTTTTTGAGACTGATGGGAATGTGATAGTACGCTAGATTTTTTGAAATCTAAAAAAGAGTCTGATACATCAAATAGGAAATGTATGGTATTTGTCTGCTCTTCCTTGCCACAACTCCATTTTATTTACCGTATTTTTCGCACCATAGGACGCACTTTTTCCCTCCTAAAAAGCAAGGGAAAATGTGTGTGCGTCCTATGGAGCGAATGCAGGGGGGAGGCAGGCGGGAAAAGCCCCCCAAGAGCCGCACACAAGCTCCGTGCGCTCTTGCGGGCTTTTCCACAGGAGGGAGAAGGGTCTGACTGGCCGCATCAGTCCCTTCTCCCACCTCCCAGGAAAGCCAGGAGAAGCCGCGATCTCTTTAAAGGAGTTGCGCGGCTTCTGCGGGCTTTTGCGAGAGGTGAGGGAATCCCCCCACCTCCCAGGTAAGCCAGAAGAAGCCGTGCAGCCCTTTTAAAGTGCGCGCGGCTTCTGCCGGTTTTGCGGGAGGTGGGGGAATTCCCCCACCTCCCAGAAAAGCCAGGAGAAGCCGCGCAGCCCCTTTAAAGAGCTCACGGCTTCTGCGGGCTTTTGCGAGAGGTGAGGGAATCCCCCCCCCCCCCAGGAAAGCCAGAAGAAGCCGTGCAGCCCTTTTAAAGTGCGCGCGGCTTCTGCCGGTTTTGCGGGAGGTGGGGGAATTCCCCCACCTCCCAGAAAAGCCAGGAAAGCCCTGCGCAGCGTCTCCCGGCAAGGGGAGGCTGCGCGCGGCTAAAGGGGAAGGCAAAACAGCAAGCGGGATCCATCCCGCTCGCTGCCTTGCCTTCTTCCATAGCTGCGCGCAACCCCCCGCAAGGAGACGTTGCGCGCGGCTAAAGGGGAAGGCAAAACAGCAAGCGGGATCCATCCCGCTCGCTGCCTTGCCTTCTTCCATAGCTGCGCGCAACCCCCCGCAAGGAGACGTTGCGCGCGGCTAAAGGGGAAGGCAAAACAGTGAGCGGGATCCATCCCGCTTGCTGCCTTGCCTTCTTCCATAGCTGCGCGCAACCCCTCCGCAAGGAGACGCTGCCCGCGGCTAAAGGGGAAGGCAAAACAGCGAGCGGGATCCATCCCGCTCGCTGCCTTGCCTTCTTCCATAGCTGCGCGCAACCCCTCCGCAAGGAGACGCTGCGCGCGGCTAAAGGGGAAGGCAAAACAGCGAGCGGGATCCATCCCGCTCGCTGCCTTGCCTTCTTCCATAGCTGCGCGCAACCCCCCGCAAGGAGACGCTGCGCGCGGCTAAAGGGGAAGGCAAAACAGCGAGCGGGATCCATCACGCTCGCTGCCTTGCCTTCTTCCATAGCTGCGCGCAACCCCTCCGCAAGGAGACGCTGCGCGCGGCTAAAGGGGAAGGCAAAACAGCGAGCGGGATCCATCCCGCTCGCTGCCTTGCCTTCTTCTATAGCCTGCGCGCAACCCCTCCGCAAGGAGAGGCTGCGCGCGGCTAAAGGGGAAGGCAAAACAGCGAGTGGGAATTCCATTCCCGCTCGCTTTGCCTTGCCTGTCTTCCATAGCTGCGCGCAACCCCCGCAAGGAGAGGCTGCACGGGGCTAGGGCTTCGTTAGCCCTGCGCAGCGTCTCCCGGCAAGCGAGAGGCTGCATGGGGCTAAAGGGGAAGCCAAAACTTGGCTTGCTGCATAGCTGGCGCACCCCTCGCAGGAGAAGTTGCTGCGCCACCCTGTACGCTGCTCTTGGGGCTGGGGGGGAAAAGATTTTTTTCTTGATTTCCCCCCCTAAAAACTGTGCGCCCTATGTCCGGTTGCGCCCTATGTGCGGAAAATACGGTATTTGAAACATTTTATAAGACCGTAATATAGGTAATCTCTTAGAGCAAAGCTTTCACAAGCCATTGCATACAATGAAATGAGATGCATTAAGAGAGATTGAGCATCAAACACCATAAGAATTTAGCACTACTGTAAGTAAGCAAGAAACAGTGGCTTTCTAGATGTTATCAAATTGCCACCAACCCCAGTTAGTATAACTCATGGTCCGGGTCAATGGGAGCTGGTTTAGGACGAGGATCTCTAAATTTTTTTGCCCCATTTAGCAAGGGAGGTCTGTCTTGTGGTTTCTGAGACCTAAGTTTTGTTTTACTAAAACTCTGAGATCCACCAAGAGAAGACAGGGGTGCAGAAGACATAGACTTAGAATAAAATAACATGATGTCTCAGAGTAGCCACTGAGCACAGGGATTTGTTTTGAGGATGAGAACCAAGCTTCCATACTAAAATCCATTACTGGTTACTTCAAGATTTCTTCATCTCAGCAGTCTAATATGTGTGTTAACCAATAAGATGCAACTTCACCAAGCAGAAGATGTGGGCTACTTTGAGACAGTCCAGTCTATGTGTGGGTTATTTGGTTGTTGCTATTGTTCAGCAAACTGGGAAATCATGATGAAGATTGGGCGGCTATGTGGGAAAAAAGTCCTTATAAAATAACCTCAGCCTGTTTAAAATAAAATCCTTTGAAACTAACGCAAAAATGGCATTTAACGCCTACGAAATAGCTAAAATGGATAAGTCATACTCACCTGTTTAACCAAGGATTATTATATAAACATTTAATTGGTTAGTTATTAATGGCCTCAAGAATAGTTAGAAACTGGAAAGAAGCAGAAAGTTTATATGAATTAAATTGGGATAATATAATTTTTTTGGGGGGGATTGAAAATCCTTAAAAAGCTGACACAAAAACTTCAAGTGCCTGGAGGGCAAACAAACAAACAAACAAACAAACAAACAAACAAACAAACAAACCCTGAGAGACTTTTGTGCTGGAATGGTGGCCATTCATCCAGTGCAGAAACAAGGACTCTAGAGGACAGACTGTACCTGCCATGTTCTGCAATATATAGCTGTGTTAACATTTTCTTTCATATTGATAACAGCAACTTTCATTCTCTTGCCACTTCAGTGCTTGCATGACCTTTGCTATTATTGTTTACATCTGAGCTATGCCTTAGGGTTGGGCAAATGTGGGGAAGGGGAGATGTTCAGTTTGCAATTTTTTAATCAAAATAAATCCTTGATGATCTGCTGCATACCACCCAGACAACTGCCAGCAGATCTTGAGCTACCTTTTGCCACCTCCCCCTCCATATGTGCTGCTCATCACAGCCAGCCCAAGATATTTTGCTGCCTTGGTGGAGGACTAGATGCTTGCTTCCAATTACACATCCAGAAGTTGGCTGAAGCAGCAGCTGAATCTTACTTCAGCACTGGTGATGCAGTAGCATCCTCACTGAGGCAGCGGGTCAAATTAGGGAGCTCAGTAAAGGCTATGTGGCAACAGAGGGGGAATGGCTGCGGACTTGGAAGATATAGGCAGGGGCTCCTATTGCTGCCCCAAAGCCTCTGCCACCT